TGTGTGTGTGTGTGTGTGTGTGTGAGATTGTGTGTGTGTGTGTGTGAGATTGTGTGTGTGTGTGTGTTGTCATATTCGCTATACACTCAAGAAAAGAATGACTGTGCCGAACAGACTGTGTCGTCGGACTGTCATCGACTCATCAGGGGGTTGAACCTGGACCGACAGTCTGCCCAGGATTCATTTGACTGATGGATAACGAGTTTTTTTTTTTTTTTTTTTTTTTTTTTTTGGTGTGTGTGTGTGTGTGTGTGTGTACTGTGTAGGTTCAGACTGCCACCCTCCCCCCCGGCATAAGGGGCTATCTTCTTTCTAACATGAATCCCGGCCGACGATCCCTGGGTGCAGCTCGGCCACTTGTCTTTTGAGGGCAAACTCACACTACAGTCTTCCCCCGAATACAACGTACGGTCATTATAGCTGAATTTGGGGCAACTTTCAGTCTAAATTCAGCTATAATGACCGTACATTGTACTCGGGGGAAGACTGTAGGAGTTTTTTCTACTAAGATCTGGACGTGATCTGAATAAGATTCATCGAATTTCATCCAGCTGTGGCCGTAATTGCAGTTAGGTATATTCAGGAAAGGCCTCGTGTGAGTATCGCCTGAGCAAGAGCGCAGTAACATGGCAGTAGTGTTTTTCCATTCCAAAAAAATAAATCCGACGGTACTCAAAGGAGAACTCGTGGATCAAAAAAAAAAAAAAAAAAAAAAAAAAACTGGTGGATCCTGTAGCAACGGCACTACTCGGGCAAGGTTCACTTCTTGCAGGGACTAGGAGGAGATCATCATCTCTGGCCGTAGACGACGAAGATCAACGGTCAGCATCTCTTAATCAGTGCAAGTGGGGACCACTTGCCCCCTTCACTGCCGTGTAACGGCGCTCTTCCCCCTAATATGTGCTTTATCTCTCCGATTTCTCTTCTTGCTTTTTTTTTTTTTTTTTTCGTCTTTTCCGTCTGTTCTGTGATGATGATGATGATGATGCTTCCTTAATAATAAACGGCAGGCTTCATCCAGCTCCAGTAGCTCGCACGCCTAAAAACATTAGGGCCTCGCCACCCCACTCACTCCCACGTTCAACTACCGGGACAAAGTTTGGGGGCGCTCCCTAACGTCACACCTCTTTCCAGAGTGCCTTTACGCTTTAGCTACTCTCCACTCGCAATTCAAGAGTGCAGTGGGGGCCCACTGCACTCTCGAATGAGCCCCTGTGATGCACGTGCGGAGGGCACGTGCGGAGATGGTGAGAGAGAGAGAGAGAGAGAGAGAGAGAGAGAGAGGAGATGGACACACACAAGAAGCAGCAGCTGAGTGAAGGTCCAGTCCGGCTCAATGGAACAACGAAAGAACAACTGCGTGAACCAACCTCCCGCCCTGGGCCTAGGCGGAAGTGATATACCGGCCTAGGTCCAGGTACGGAGCGACCTGGTACCGGACCGGCCTGAAACTGGTCCGGCCCCTCTCGAAGTCTGAACTGTTGCACACTTGCCACATACGGACGCCTTGCTTTCCTCTTTTTTTTTTTTTTTTTTTTTTTTTTTTTGAATCTGGGGGGGCATGCGAGTCTACTTTTGAGGGGGCTCGCTCCACTACTCTCCACATCCACAACAAACGAAAAATATGCGAAAGTGTATCTTTGTGTTTTCTAGCAAAAGATTCACTTTCTCATTTTGCACATTTGGTGAGTCGTGGGGCGAGCCTCAGGCCCTTCGTTTAGTTAGGATTTTAGAGGAGATGTCCTGAAAGAGTGCTGGAAGTGGAGTACATCAAAACGGACGGACCTACGGTAATAGAACGCGGGGTCATTATAGCTGCATTTGGGCCAACATTCAGTCCAGATGCAGCGACTCATGAACTGTCTGTTGACATACAGACCGGAGTTAGAACCCACTGGCAGATGGAACAAGATGAATGAAATAGGAAGTTGAGAACATCACTCCATATTAAGTTAAGTTTTCCTCTTTAAGAACGCGTCTGACTTGGTTGACCAGTTCGCCTACATCACGGAGATTCTGAATAGCAGTCTGTATTCGGGGTAGATTTCAGTCTAAATACAGCTGAAAAAGTGGGACTTTGTTGACCAGTTCGCCTACATCACGGAGATTCTGAATATCAGTCTGTATTCGGGGTAGATTTCAGTCTAAATACAGCTGAAAAAGGGGGACTTTGCTGACCAGTTAGCACGCATCACTGAGATTATGAATATCAGTCTGTATTTGGGGTAGATTTCAGTCTAAATACAGCTATAAAAGGGGGACTTTGTTGACCAGTTAGCATATATGAGATTCTGAATACCAGTCTGTATTTGGGGTAGATTTCTGTCTAAATACAGCTACAAAAGGGGGACTTTGTTGACCAGTTCACATGCATCCCTGGGTTAGCAACTTAGCTTTCGTCACCCGAATACAACGAACGGTCAATCTAGCAGTCTAAATACAACGCATCTGACCAGTCTTTCAGTCTAAATACAGCCAATATGATGACGACCGTGGTCAACGCATCTGACCAGTTACGTCCAGAAAAAGTCCGTCGAGGAGTCCTCAGGCTCTCGAAAATAAGTAAGGGCCTCACCGAATGAGCCAAATGAGAATGACTCTTTCGCTCTAGAACGCGATAAGGTACACCCCCATAATTATACCCATATTTTGTTGTCTTTTGTGCATGTGGCGCGTGGCGCGCAGCGAGTAGTGGGTGGGAGCGAAGCACTGCGGGACGACAACTTGGCGCGCTGGATCGACCAGAGGTCCAGAGGTGCTACACTGCACCGTCTTCCCCCGAACATAAGGCATATGCATTGCATTCGAGTTCTCGAAAGACGATCGATGACTCGAATAGAAAGCATATAGAAAGCATGTAGAAGACCGCAATTTTTACATCCAGAAATAAGTAAAAAGGTGCTGGTGTGAGTACTATGCCCTTATACGGTTTGTATACCCTATCTCGCCTCATAGCTGCGGGCCTTTTTTTTTTCTTCTTTTTTTTTTTTTTTGTGGGAACAATGCTCCAATCTATTCGTGCTGCCCTCTCAATTTAGTACCTAAAAACTGAGAGCGCCAATAAGTCTTCCTCCACCGGATACAACGTACTGTCGTGATAATACTATCGTCTTCCCCCGAACACAACGCACCTTTATTTTGGCTGTATCTGCCCGGAAATATAGCTTGTATACATTCATTTTTAGGGTGCGTTATGTTCGGTAGCTGTATTTACTATTTAGACTAAAAACTCAAATGGCGGACACTCCTGGGCTGTGGTCCCATTAGCAAAGAGCATCGGATTGAATGCCTGAATCTGGACGTGTTTGAGGACAGGAGCAGGAAATCGAGATAGAACTGCTTTTCTGTATCTCTGCATAAAACATAGCCAGATTCAGGATTTCTATCCTATCCCCTTTCCTAGTCGGACCACATCCCTGGCCAGAAAACTGGGTTGTATACATTGCCCCAACTGCAATTCTATCTTGGCCCACCATAGTGCAATTATAACTCATTTTTGTGACTCGGGCGTAGTTTCCCCTTTATTTTATTTTAGCGGTAAAGTAGGTGCAGTTACGAAACAGTTGGAAAATTTACTGCACGCAATCCCGCGAACACAACACACCCCACATGACCCCACCGGACCCGAAACCTAGGTTATATACATTCACCATAAATTACCGGCCCTTTTGCCTCATTGACAACAAAGACAAGTGCATAGGCCTTGGGGGGAAAGATTTCGGCACGCGACTTCAGCGGCGCTAGCTCGCCTGAGCTGTCTGCGTGGCTGGTACCTATGGTCAATTCACCATAGCTATCCAACCTTCTACCGTGAGGGAGAAGGTAATTAGGGTTTTGGCAACATTCCACCGTGAAGGTAATTAGGGTTTCGGCAACATTCCACCGTGAGTCTCTTTCCGAGTGGACGCCGTCACCCTAGGAGACCGCTTTCCCCCAGCCCAGTCTATCAAACCAGATCTACCCAGACATAACCAGAGTTACCAGCGTAATGCTCGCATCGAGCGTTCCGCTACAGG